TACCCCCCTCCCCTCTCTCTCTCTCTCGCTCCACTACCCTCCTCGGCGCTGGACTCCTCCAGCGCCTGTCTCTTATACACATCTAGATGTGTATAAGAGACAGTGATTACAACGTCTCTCTCTCTCTCTCTCGCTCCACTACCCTCCTCGGCGCTGGACCTGTCTCTTATACACATCTAGATGTGTATAAGAGACAGGAGAGAGAGAGAGAGAGAGAGAGAGAGAGAGAGAAGCAGGGAGAGATGAGAGAGAGACAGAAGTCCCCAGCAAGCATACACACGCATGACAGGCAGCAACATGCCGCGTGACTCTATACAAAGAGAATAATCCCCTAGAAGACAGAATAAACCCTAACTATTTCAAATGGCCTATATCTTGACTCATACCCAAGCACTCACAAACATTCCTCACACCATTGCACCATCTTGCATTTTCACATTTTGCATACACCTTCTTAAATCCTATCTGCGTATTTTCACACCTGTGTGTGAACACGTCCTCCCAAGCATGCATGTCATTGCACAAGCATGTGCGCCTGGGTGGGGTAATCTGTGTCTGTGCGTGTGTTTTCGACTGTCTTCATGACATCCCTTTTCCACCCAGATTAGTGTGCGTGTGTGTGCGTGTGTGTGCGTGTGTGTGAATGTGTGAATTGCATGTGTGCGAGCATCCGACTGCTTAGAGGTGTGCCCATGTTCTCACCTCACTGATCCGCTGGTTATACCAATTGCATGGTAATCTCCTTTGATACTTCAGCGGAAGGAACAGATCCAATAAGAGGCTGGAGCACTTGCCGTACAGCATTACTCTGAAACGCAATCTCTTCTGCAACCACCCGCTGTGCGGTTTGGCAACGCTGCTCATCATTAAACGCAAGGGTCCAACGTCCGTCCCCTGGCCTCCGCATGCGTGTCCTGTTCCACGCAAGCATACCTGCCTCAGCAGGAGGATGGACTGGTGACCGGATCCGTAGATGGAGCCACCGTGGATGTTTCTCATCGATTCTTGGCTGTTTTTCCGCATCACCAGATTGAACCAGCAGATATTGTTCAACCATTTACACAATAAGATGTTCGCAACATGACAACAAAGAACTATATATCAGTCCCATGAACAGTGTAAGTTGAGTGTTCTGCA